TGTACCTTATAAATTGTTTTTTTATGATAAATATTTATTCTATACTTGACAGAATATATTCAGATTTATTTTCAAATCAGTTTTTTATTATATTTTAAGGTCGTTTTCTGCCTCAGAACCCTTTTTTATTTTTTTGTTTCTTATTAGATTTTGATGATTTTGATGGCATTGTTGTATTACTTAAACTAAATTCATTATAAACTTTAACAATATTTTCATTTGCCCCAATAAAAAGAACTTCATCATTCAAGAATAATTTTTCATCACTTCGTGGAATAATAACACGATTATCACGTTTAATTGCAATCAAATTAATATTATAATTAACAGGAATTTGTAAATTTTCTAATTTACGATTAGTCAAACGAACATTTCTTAAGATAACATGAGCAATTGAATGTTTTTGATCAACAGTAGTTAAATCTAGACCCAACTTTCAAATTGCTCGATAAGCTGCTCTTTTACCAGCTTCAAGTTCTGGTAAAATAATATTACTAATTCCAATTGCTTCTAATAATAACTGATGAGTACTATCAACTGCTTTAGCAACAATATTAATTTCTTCCCCATCATTATATTCTTTTTGTAATGCCAAAATTTGAACAGCAGTCACAACTGAAGCAGCCAAATCTGAACCAACAGCAATAATAATATTTTTAATTTTATGAATCCCAGCATCTTCTAAAGCATCACGATTAGTTGAATCCAAAATTAAAACTTCACTAGCAACATTAGCAGCTAATTGAACCCGATCTTCATTTTTATCAATTGCTAAACAAACTTTACCTAAATCTTCTAAAGTTCTGACAACTGACATCCCAAATTTTCCTAAACCAATGACACAATAATCATTTTCTGAAGACATTACGACCCTACTTTCTTTTTCTTTAAATATGACAAATAATAATATCATTATACTAAAAATTATTAAAAATCGTTAAATTTAAAAAGGTTTTACTTATTAAAAGGAACTTTGTTATTGGTAATTATCTAAAATTCTCAGGTAAATTTTAAAAAATACGATAAAATAAATATTATGGAAACTAATATTCTAGGGGAGAAAAAAATCAATGAAAATTAAAATAGTTAACAATCAAAAGATGTTAAATCAAGCTTTAAAAGTTAGAGAAATTGTTTTCATTAATGAACAAAAAGTACCTTTATCAGAAGAAAATGATCAGTATGAAACCGAAGCAACTCATTTTCTTGTTTATAATAAGAAAAATCAACCAATTGCAACTTGCAGAACGAGAGTTTATTCCGATAATAAAATTAAAATTGAACGAGTTTGTGTTTTAAAAGCTTATCGTGGTTTAAAAATTGGTGAAGATTTAATTAATTTTGCTGAACAAGCAGCAAAAAGTCAAGGATTTAAAGAAGCAATTTTAGGTGCTCAAACCACAGTACTAGACTTTTATCAAAAATTAGGTTATCAAGTTTGTTCTAAACCATTTATGGAAGCAAATATTGAACATTACTTAATGAAAAAAACTTTATAATATGATAAAAATAAAAAATGAGTTCAATTAAATGAACTCATTTTTTATTGCTATTTTAAATACTTATTTATTAGCATCCTTTAATGTAAAAGTAACATTTGCTGAACCTTTGATTAATAGATCACCATCTTTTGCTGCAACAACAGCACTTGTATGGAGAGTATTACTATCAAGGATAATATTAATATGAGGACTAATTAAAGCTTCAGATACTGGAAAATGCATAATATCAGTTCCAAGAGCAGCCACTGCTTTAATAATAGCTTTAGTAATTTGCGCGTCTGTTGAGTTAGTATCAACACCTTGTAAATTTAACTTACTATTTTCTTTAGTAACAAAAGAACCAATGTCAATTCTAAAATCTTGTGTACCTAAATTAGTAGCATCTTTATCAACAGTAACTGTTGCGATTTTTTCATGAGTTGTCGCACTTGCTGCAGCAACCGTAATTAAACCTAAAGCTGTTAAGCTTGTTAATAAATTTCTTAATTTCATAAAAACCCTCCTTTTTTTTATTTAACTTATTATATCAGTTAATTCTAAAAATTGCAGAAAAAATTTTTCTTATTAAAACTAAATAAAAAAGATAAGTTTTATTGACTTATCTCTTTTTATTAACTTTAAATTACAACTTCGTAAAGACTATTATCTTTTGTATTTATCTCATATAACTTATCATTCATTACTGTTCAGTTATCAAACTCTACACTAAGATTTCTAGGTAAGAACTTAGTTTTAGTTCCAGCATCTAAATTAATTTCAGAAAGACTATCTGAATCGGCATAAAATAATTTACCATTACTTTTAAATAAAGGCTCATCAACAATAAATGTATCTAAATTCAAATAATATTTTTTTACTATTTCTCTTGTATTGACATCGATAAGATAAAAAATATTTCCACTATCAGAACTATAATAAAAAATAATCTGATTATTAAAAAATTCAACTATATTACTATCATTACCATTAACTTCAATTCCAGAATAAATACGACTTATTGAATTATTACTTAAATTAATTTCATAAATATCGGTATTTGACTTTAAATATAAATTCCCATTGGCAGCTTGAATTAAAGAATCAAAACCATCTTTTAATGGTGTACTAAATTCTAATTGTTGATTATTATCAAAATCAATTGCTCAAACACTAGTAGCAGTAGTAATATATAACTTACCATTAACTTCAAGCATTTGACAACCATAAACTGATGATTGATTAATTGTAACTGAAATTGGATTAAGACTAAGATTATTTAAATTAAATTTATAAAAAGTTGTACTAGTCATAGATTTAACATATAAATTATCATTTGCAATATAAATTTTTTCTGGTTCACTAAATTTAAAATTATATACTTCTTCTATTTTATTATTATTTAAATTAATTTCATAAAGCTTACTATAATAAATATTCATAGGATCTCAGCCATATTTTGAAACAACATATAACTTATTATTTGAACCTTGAGCCATAGATTTAATTGGAGTAGTAATACCAAAACTTTCTAAATCATATTTTTTCAAAAATCGATCAACTGTAATTGTTAAATTAATTAATGAACTTGATAATGTTGCATATTGATAAGTAACACTAACATCAATTGTTGATTCAGATTTTAAATCTTCAACTGTTAATATTTGATTATTAGACTTATTAATAATTTCAATACAACGGAAACTTGATTGATTAAATTTTAATTTAATACTTTCATCTAATTGTTCTAAAATAGAATTTGGAATTTTATTTTTAACATCTTGTATTGTACTTTTAATTCCAATATTTAAATTATAATTACTAATTTGATTAATAGCAGTAACAACTTCTGTTGGATTTATTGTTGGTAATGATGGTATTTTTGTTCCATCTTTACTATCACAAGCAACAACACTTAATGAAGTTGAAGTTCCTAAAGTTAATAACCCCAATGTTGATAAAAGTTTTTTCATTATAATCTTCCTCCTTTAATACTCTATTTTGACCCCCTCCTTTATTTTAAACGATTTTTAAACAATAAAAGAATAAAACTAGTAAATAAAAAAATCTTACTCTTATAGTAAGATTTTTCTAAAAACTAAATAATATAATTTGTTAAATCTATAATTTTAAATTTATATTCTGGATCTTCGTTACTCTGATATTGATTAAATTTTAAAAGAAAATTTTGATATTCACTATCATTGAGACATTCTTTACTTGCTTGACAACATAAACAGCATTTAATTAAATTTTTCTTTAATAACTTAGAATTATTTAGATTAAAAATTAACTTTTTATCTAATTTTAAGTGAGAATGAGGTTTTTTCTTAAGACAATTAAAATTAGTTTTAAGATTATATAATGCAAAACCTAATTCAACTATCCCTTGATTATTTTTTTCATTTATTATTAAATACGGTCGTTTCTTAGTAAAATCATCAGGAAAATATTTATATCTTGTTTTTAATCAAATTACTTTATTTGGAATTCAACACATATATTTATAAATTAAAATGATTAATATAAATATTAAGATGATCTTTATAAAATTGAAAAGATTTTTGATTAAAAATAATTTCATCTTTAGGATTGTTTTCATATATTTTAAGATTTTTTTCTGATTTTTCATACACTAAAAATCAATTAGGATCTTCGTGAACAAAATTTAATAATTCTTGATCACTATATTTTGAAAAAATTTTATAAATCTTTTCAAGATAATGTTTGATTGAATCATTTAAATTTAAAAAATCTGTATTTTTATTTTTTTCTGCTTTTATTACTTTAAAATTACTATAAACTTTATCAATAATAGGACCAAATTTATAAGCAAAAGTTGTTTCATTAAATAATTGTTCATTATACTTAGCAATATATAATATATTAGCAATATATAATAATTTATTTATTCTAAATTTACCAGCTGAAATTCTTACTTTGTTTTCATTATTAGTTTGTAACTTAATATGCTTATCAACAAAATACTTATTTCTTTTATCTAAATATAAAAAATATTTAGCAACAATCATACCATCAACCATAATCATGTCCTCCATATCATTTTATTTTAGTAATACTTAAATATCATTACACAGTTTAATTATTTATATATTTCTAAATCCTTGATATTTTGTATAAACTCTTTTATTGATTACTATTATACAATACATATTAATGAAAATCATAAACAATAAAAAAATCTTATTAAACATAATAAATATATGATAATGTAATTGCACCAGTTAAATTAATTCCTGATTTAATAAAAGAATAAAATCTTTTATTATCTCCATTATAATAATAAATCCACCTAACACCATTGGAGATATAGCAATATAAACCAAATAGTTATAATGAATAATATCAACAAGGTATCTTTGATTATTATCATAATCATAAATCTTTTTAACATATCCATAACCTACACCGATTAAAATACTACCTATTATTAATAATAATATTCCAATTCAAAAATTTTTTGTATTCATTATTTTTACTCCTTAATATCAAATAGTTTCATTTAATTTTTTAAAATTAATATATTAATTATATAAACAAATTATTGTTATTCTGACAAAGTTTTATATATTTTTTATAAAATAAAAAATCTTACTATAAAAGTAAGATTTTAAAACTAATACTTATCACTTAATTTCAATAATTATTTATTACATCTTTTATGTACTGCCGTTAAATTATCTCTTCTATTTGTTCCACCATCTCTTTTAGGTATTAAATGCTCAACATTTCAACAATTAGGATTATCTTGCTGTCAACTTTGATATGCTCCATATTCCATAGGAACTTTGCATCAATAACATAATTTATGTTTATTTTTAGCATCTTGTTGAGAACCACAATTGCAACTATATGAATTTTTTCAAGCTTTTCTTGCTTTTGGTCGTAAAAATTTTTTAATCATTTTTTTGCTCCTTTCTTAATCTTTCCTGACTTTCAGTAATCATCTTTTTAACTGCCAAAAAATCAGTTTGATAAAAATTAATTAATTCTTGATATTGTTCATTTAATTTTTCTAAATTCATTAAATGATACTTAGTTTTATTATGTCCAATAACTTTATTTAACTTCTTTTTAACTCTCTTAATTATATTTTAAAAAATATTTCTTTTATTTTCAAAATAAAAAGTAATAAGTACTTTTAAATACCTACTACTTTGAGTGAACTCTATTTCTCAATAAGGTTATCATTAACAATTTCAATATATGATGGACCTTTTATTTCATCTGTTGGATAGTTATCATAATTATAAAGAATATAATATCTATTTGGAAATTTAGAATATAACTTTTTTGGTTGATCAGGAACGCTTAACTTTGAAATATTAAAATATTTTTTTAAATCAGAATGAGAACTAAAATATTCACTAAAACAATTAGGAATCATTTTTTGTAAAATATCTTTTCATAAAGTTGGTTCTTCTAGTTCAATTTTAAAACCAAAAGCATGGATAGAACTAATTTCCATAGATACTCATTCTGCAACTAACCTATCAATTTTTTGATTAATTGTTGCAATTTCATCAGCATCATCAGTAGTTTCTTTTGATGCTTCTAATCTTGCAATTTCACTTCGTCAATAATCAACTTTATTAGGTGACTGATAATTTCCTTGACCACAAGCTATTACTGAAAAACCTGAAATTGTTATCACGACTAGTGAATTTAATATTTTTAAACCTCGCTTCATCTTTTTTCCTTTCTAAGCAAAATAAATATATGGTACTGTAATTGCTCCTGCTAATTTCATTCCAATCACATTTGCATCAAGTAATCGCTCACTACTATATTGCTTAACTCCCAAAATATTTTCATAACTTGTACGATAAAAAGAATTAATAAACTCTATGCCTAAAAATCGCTCAAAACTTATACCATGAAGCAATATTAAATTAGAATCTATAACTGCTTGTGAAGTTGGATATCATGTCATAGTCATTGATAGACTATATGTTGTAAAACCACCTGGGAAAGGGACAACTTTTATACCAGTATACCCT